TCTGTTAAGTAATATTATAAAAAGTTCAAATCAGGGATCGTTAAGTGATTTCAAGGAATTCGTAAATTATAACTGTAAGACTACTCATATTCTAAACAGCACGACTTGACTGTCAACATCACAAGTAATCGCATGGATCTCAAGGGACACGCAATTTACAGGCAGAAGTCGAGCGCAGGCTCTCTTATCCCAAGATTAACTGCATCCAGTTGCTACTAGTCACCCCCATTTCGCACGTCTACAATCATTTCAAAAGTTCTTTGAGTGTCATACACATTTTCTGTCTTACACAGCACGAAGTGTGTGCCCAGGCACGATTTTTACCGTTTCTCTTAGAAATCTACTGGCACAAGACATCATGTAATAAATCCACAATGACTAATAACGCATTTTGCCGTACACGCCACTAATGCATTTTTGTTCGTGACGAGCTGTAAAACACAGCTCATGTATTGTTAAGTGCTTTTGCCTGTAGAATCACTAAGATCATAATCCTTTCAAGAAACAAGACGAAAGCCAGGGTGGCCAGCAGGCTGACCACCAGACGGTGCAGCCAGGATTGGTCAAAGCAATTAGAAAAGTTGCTTACTCTTTAGCCGGAGAGGCGAGTTTCAATTTGAAACTGGTTCAAGTATTCGAGATAAGAATTATAAATCACTGAGACTCGAGCCGCCTTCGACAGAATCAGTTTTAAAAAATTAGGAAAAAATTAGGGCAAGGATACTTTTGAACTTTAAAATAATACTTTTCGATAAAGTCGTAGCACAATGTCAGAGAGAAAACGTCCGATATCGACAGCTGCAAGTACCATCAGCGGAATGCCTAGTAGACCGTAAATGACGGCAACGAACTGCCCGAGTTTTGTTGATGGCACCGCCGACAAGTAGCCTGTTGTCGTCTGAACCATCCGATATCATTTCACAAATAAAAAAATTTTTCGGGCATGAAGCACCGGGAGTTCGCAGTCGAAGATCAGGTCTAGCAAAATGAAAATTTCCAGGATGGGGTCTCACATCCCGAATTGTTGGGTGATGCAGTTCTGAATGCATGGAAGATGGCCCGCTGTATTAACGATGTGAAGATGGTGCATTCACGTTCATCCAAATTAGACGAAATTGTGATATTTACGGTGCTCGGGCATCAAAAATGTTTTTCAGACCAACCTGACATTCGCATTCGGTGCTCAGATTTAACTTTTGGCCTATCAACCAGTATTTTCCAGCAAAATGGAGTAACCAATTTAAATATAATACTTTTCGATTCAAACTTTGAGGAATTTGATGTCCTCCGGCCTCAAAAGAA